AAAGGGTCTGCACTAAGCTCCACAGAAGACTGGACAAAAGGGCTTTTAAGTCAAGGGTTCTCCTCCAAACCAACCTTTGAAGGGCAAGCCAGGGATGGGGATAATCCTGTAGCTGTGCTTGCTGAATGCTGAGAAGGAGGCACTCTACTAACAACTTGGCTTTGTCTCTGGACAGGGATAGGAGCTTCTCCATCTTTGACCGAGGTATTATCCTCGCCCAGGTGAGGAACTACTGCACCGTAGCTCTTCTGAGCTCCCAAATGAAGTCCAGTGGGTGCTGGTGAAGAAGATTCAAACAAAAGTCTTGTTCTCATTTCCGTTTCCTCCAAGAAACTTTTGCAACACCTACTATTGACGCTGCCTATACTGAAAGTTGTGTATCAGTGAGAAAACTAGATATGTCAATGAGCCAAGCTAGCTTTGCCTGTTTTTTTATATCAGTTTGTTTTGCAGCTCACACACTGACCCTGAGCTTTGAATTAAGCTAATTGAGACAAAAGCATTGAAAAAAGCTAGCATAAGCTCTTTTTTTTTATGATCATAAGCAAGGATAATTTACATATAGTTGTAATAGTGTGCTAAACAGGCTGAACCATAAGCTCTTTGAATTAAGCTAATTGAGACAAAAGCATTGAGCAAAGCTAGCATAAGCTCTTTTTTTTTATGATCATAAGCAAGGATAGTTTACATATAGTTGTAATAGTGTGCTAAACAGGCTGAATCAAATTTATAAATATCTTTATTACCAAAAAAAAAGTAACAAATATCTTGTTACTTTTGCATCCAAACAGGACTGATGAAGTAATGTCCAGTTGTTTTGCCCTCTAGTTGACCTGATGACTATTCAGTGCCTATAACATGGCTAGTCAATGAAAAAATATGTTGCAAATTTAAGGATATTATGCAATCTCATAAATCTTAGAAACAGCCTCTCTGTATGTGCAGGGGTAAGGCTGCATACATCTGTTCCTCCCCAGACCCCACAAGGGAGCCTCGTGCACTGGGTTACCCTTATGCAATCTTATAAAATATAGACAACAAATATGTAATAAAGTTCAAATCACAAATATGTAATAATTAATAAAAGAATGATATTCAATATCTAGTTTACATTCTGTGTTTTGCAAACATGAAAAAGTTAGGTTTGATAAGCTAGGGGAATGGAATTATAGCCTCTTTTTTCTAAAGAAAGACAGAAATATCAACCATCAAATCTACCCTTTGCTTGTAACAACTCCATTCCAGCACACCTTGGTTAGAAGAAAACTTAAAAGAACTCAACTGCCTTCTTTATTTTATGCCTGAGCCAAATAAACAATATGAACATAGCTAAATACAAACATATTCTATAGTACTTCAAATAATTAAAGACACAAACAAATAAATCATCATCTAAGCCTTATCCCAATGTAGATACAAAAGTTGTAAATCACACCTGCACTAATTCTGAAAATAAACCAAAAGAAAGGAGAAGAAGATGGAAGAAGAGAAGACTTCAGAAGAAGAAGAGAAGGAAAGAAAGGGAAGAAAGGGGAGCTCTTCAGTCCCCTAATAGCTTTTATTAATCTGATTGTAATAATTCAGATACAATTACAAGAGTGCCCTCAATAGAGTGGCTACTTAATAGATAATAAAAGAAAGAAAAACTGGCCCAATAAACTAAGGTCCACTAACTGAACACACACTAATAACAGCACCAATAAAATAAAAAGACTAAGGCCCACTCGGCCCATCATCTCTACAAGAAACAAACAAATAAAGTTTTAAAATAACTTTTAGGGGCAGTAAGTTGAGTAGCCTTTTATTCACTAATTGACCAAGTCGGTGCTTAATCATCCTAGGGTGACCTACTTTATGAGTATTAACCAACTAGTTATGGATGCAGTTGGTCTGGCCCTCCACTAACTAGTCAGTTGACTAGTCGATACTATGATACCCTGTGGCCAATATGTAGGGAAAGGGAAACAAATTTATACTTTTATTTGGGCTATAGGGCTTGAGATGGCACTGGCAATGGGCCAGAAAATAGATTTTCACAAATCCACAAGAACCCAGCTCAATTTGATGGGTCTAAAAAAGCTGCACCAAAAGCATTAGCCCAAGAAGTTATGGAGTCAACATAATGCCCATAACATTTGGCCCCATACCAGAAAGCCCAATTAGTTAATTGTCAACCCAAATGGTGCCCACTAGGCCAGTTATTGGACCAGATGTACATAAACCCGAGTTTGATTTGAGAATGAAAACCCTCCATCTGAATTTGACCTGAACTCCGATCGGATGCTTGGGAGATAAATCCAAGTTTGAGTTTGATCGGATGTATCAGATTGCAGATTCCATCTAAGTTTGAAAGAATCAAATAAAAAAGAATGAAAAGAAAAACAAAGTCAAGCCAGAACTAAACCCTTGAAATACAAGTAGAAATCAAAACCCTAGTAAGAGAAAACATGGAGGGGGGGAGGGAGAGAGAGAGAGAGAGAGAGAGACGTATATGTTAATGGTCAAAAGAAAACCCAATGAGAAAATGACAACATAGAAGAGGGCAATGCAAGCAAAACAAGCTGGAGGGATTGTTAAGAAATCAGAAATCAATAATAATAATAATAATAATAATAATAAAACTCAACTTTGCAAAGAAGAAAGAAGACGAGTTGCAGAAGAAGCTCATGTTGAAGGAGAGAGCGAGACGTATCTATTAGATGAAACTCTCCATACGTGAAGCCAAGCAACGAAATGTTTGCCTTTGCATTTGAGAACATTGAACAGAGTTAGACAATAGGCTGGAATAGGAGATTGAAACCAATGGTTTCTTGGGTTAGGTTGTCTTGTCAAATGAAGGGAATGGGGAAAGATATTGTGTAATTACCCCATTTACCCTTTTAGGTACACACACACGCATACAACTCCAGTCAGATTATATAACTACTACATCTAAGTTCGAGATTTTCAGATTGGATGTTGGATCAGGTATCAAATTTTCAGAGGCCATTGAGAGCCCTACCGCCCACATGATATGAATTTGACTCTCCCAATCAAATCATTGATTGGACGTGGAATATATATTGAATAATGGGTGGATCCTCTGGATTCACTTTAGATCTTCAAAATATTGTTATAGACTTTTAGTTGGAAAATCACCTCTTCTAGCCCTTATACTATAATTTTTCTAATCTATCTACTTGTCGTTTAAGTTATTAAATTTCTGCAATCCATAAACAATTCATCCAAGATTTATTTTGCTTTCTTTTCTTAATTTCTAAAACCGCTTTTAAATTCTCTCCATCCCTTTTACTGGATATATTTAAGCTACAATGTCAAAACTAAGCAAGCTGAGGGCCTTTGATCGGTTTCCAGCTTGATATGGATCCCTGTCAACCCACCATTTTCCATTTATTTCACCAATATTTACACTTTTAGACTGATTTACCTACAAAATCTAATTGTTTAAATTTCAGCATCAAAACCCTATCTTAAACCTCTTGATCACAATCTTTTAAAAGGTATTTGAAGCATCCATTAAGGCATGCTCAAATGCCCTGAGGCATATGCTGGAGGTGTGGATGCCTCTGATGCATACACCTCACGTGCATGAGACATAAACTTTAAATGCCTTTGGCATGAAGTTCCGGTACACCTCATGCAAGCCTCAAGAAAGAAAAGGAAAGGCAAAGAAAAGAAGAACATGAACAAGAAGATAACGCCTCCTCCTCCTCTAGAGGAAGCTTACACCTCCTTGTGCTCAGGAAGCAAAGCTTATGCCTATTGCATTTTGAACTATATCTCACACCTCCAAGTAGTGGAATGCCTCACGAGTCACATCACACCTTTGCATTTTAAAAAATTGGTTTGGTCATTGCAATTTAAACCTTGAAACCCCAACTTAAACAGTTAACCTAGTCAACAACCTTTCTTTATCTTTAGAAATTCAAAGAAATCTAAGTTTTGATTTCTAGAGATGAGCCTTTTCAGTTTTTTCTAATGGTCTAGCATCAATTCTCCACGTGACAAAGATAGACAGTGGACCAAACGCAATCAATTCAAACTGTAATTTCTCCATTTCCCTCATCACCACCATGAGCACCATGCCCACCATCATCAACTTGTAATATTAGATTTCTTTTGCATCCAAACAGGACTGATCTGTCCAACATGCTTCCATGGATGTGACTAGACAGGTCAAGAGAAGAGAAGCTACAAGTTCTTTATGATCTCTGTGCCAATATGAAATAACATGTAACCAACAACAATGAGCTGTCAAGTATTGACTCTATAGTTGACAGCTTGTCCCAGAGTAACTACCCAAGTCAAGACAACTCAGATGGTTGACAGCCTGAGAGAAACAGAGTGAATATGATATGGTGTAGTATTAGGTCGACTATTACTAATTGACAAGACCTCGTGACCTACAATGGACTCTCAAAAATGGATTACGTAAACCAATAATGCATAGACAAACTACAGACTAGAGAAACCAATAATTCGTTGCCCAAAAATGGACTCTCAAAAGTAGAACAATATTTATTTCATTGCCCTATGTAGTTCATTTCCTACTCACTGAATGACGAGATATTGTCCTGAAAAGTCAAATATGAACACAATAGAACTCATTCAGCAACTTACAACTACAACAAAAGAATGGATCAGTGTCAAATCCCAGCAATTTATTTTCTCAACATAAAGTCTACAGAAACAAAATACAAAAGGATATAACACATCAACTAACCAAGAGAAATGGATGGTCATGAAGTGTGTGGACTATTTACCTGCCATCAAGGCAATTGAAAAAACACTGAACAGTAGCACTCAGGCATGAGCCAAGCCAACAATTTGTTGATGCAGAAGACATTGAATTGGTATGCATGTTTGTTTTGCACAATTGCAAGCATCATGAATGGAGAAATTTCGGGACGCAATGGGCATGTGATATGAACCAATAGATCAAAACTTTCCAACAACTTACAAATTTCATGGCATTCTTACTGACCAAGAACTGGACATACCATTCTTTATTGAGCCAGACCCCAATTGTCCATGCTTGTTCCAGCCGAAGGAGAAGGAACTTCCATCTTCAGTTACCACCACAGTGTGACTCCTCCCAGCTCCTGCTTTGATAATTTTGTATCTGGACCCAACAACATCATTAAATTAGGTTGCTAGCAGGAAAAAAAATTGAAAATAGCGAAAACAAAACTTCTAGTTCCACCCTGAAGAAAGAAAACAAGGAAACTACTATATCAATAGCTGTCCTAACTCCTAACCGGCTAAGCCATAAAGGCATAAAAAGAAGTTACAGTAGCACCTTATCTAATCTATCACTTTCATAATGAACTAATAATTGCATTAGTTATTTGACAACAGTTGTCAAGAAAATGATTTGACGTTGCAACACATGTAGCGCCCCATCTGCATCAGATATCATCCATTTCCTTGTAGCTTCTAAGAGAAGCCCATTTCCAAATACAAACCAGAGAACAGTGTCCTGAGAGTTTTTGTTTTATGGCCATGGGAGTGGAGGTCATATTATCACATTGACCACCACCAGAAAATTTCAGCAGAAGGGACAAGTTTGTTTTCATTCAATGCCAATAATAGTTCACTCTCAGACTCAAAATGCTGAAATACTCTCTTTGTGAAGTTCTGATGCAAAATCTATCGTTTCGAAGCATCAACAGAATAGTTCACTCTCAGACAGAAACCTGTTCATCATTTATATTTCCTGGTAATATAAATTGAAAATGTATGTATAGCAAGAAACTTAAAAAAACTTATTGAAGTTAACAGTTTCTTGTGAAGAGGTCTTCCCACCATAGAATCGTGCCTTTGCAATATCCTTTTCCATTTTCATATACTTTTCCTGGTTATTCATTTGGGGTTGCAATATTTATCCTCAGCAATCTTGTAATCAAACGTACCACCCACTCGGTGGAATAAAGAATAAAAGAAAAAAGAAACAAAAAAACTCAACCCGCCAACAATATAGTAAAACGTTTCCATGCTAAAATTGACTTCAACAAATAATGGCGATTGGCAATTCACAACCTAAAGGAGAATAATGAGAATAGTTTCAAAAAAATCAGGCATGTAGCATATATTGTATTATGCAACCAGCTCATGATCCTGCTGTATACAGAATGGAGAAGGTAGGTAGACGAAAGGATCACCATAAATATATAAGAGAAAGTAGTTTCAAAAAAAATTGAAGAAACCATTTTTTCTCAAGACAAGGTGCACAGGCCAAGTACCAAAGAAAGAAAGTGATCTCAAGTAAGAAAGCAGCAGCTTACTTCGACAAGTCAGAGACAACTGTAGGCCGATCACGCTGAAGCATATCTCCATGTCCCAACTGCCCCTTCTACAGAAAGACAGTTCATGATGAAAACGTTAGAGAAAAGAAGTTCTAAAATCCCCAAGTTCAAAGCACATTTCAACATTTTATAGCACCTCGTTCCGTCCCCAAGTATAGCAGCGACCTTCAACATCCAAAGCCACGCAATGACAAGACGCTACGGAAACATCAACAAACATTAGCTTCTTCGTTTAGAAATACGAAAGAGAAACTCCATCTTTTGCAGTAACAGGCAAACAACTAAAGAAACAAAAGAACAGTAAACGAAGGGAGAATCCAAACAATCGCAACAAAATAGAATTTCAAAAAAGGAAGAAACAATGAGGCGAAAAGAAAGCATCAGCAAGCCAGCCAAAACAAAGAGAGGCTGGGGAGGGGGGTGCTTACTGCAACCCGAAGCAACAAAACAAATGTCGATGCCAACAAGAGGCCGCAAACGAGTGGGAGAGACCAAGTTCCCATCAGCCGGAGTTCCTTTACGGCCGATTGAATCCCAATTTGTTCCGCCGCAGAACAGCAGCTCCCCACTCTTTACAACCTTCTCCTCCTCCGGCTTTTTCTCCGCTTCGGCCACAGACATTTTTGAGACAAATTCAAAAAAAAAAAAATGAGAGAGAGAAAGAGAGAGAAGTATGAAGAAAAAAGCGGCGGAACAATTGCCGGAAACAGTGACGGAACTAACGGCTAGTTAACGGAGTCCGGCGAGTAAACGGTCAACAATAAGATGGAAAATCGGCGGGAAATGGGAGGGATTTAACGACTAGTGAAGAGGGAGAAAAAGGGTTCGCCCTAGATCTAAACTGAGAGAGGAAAGAAAAACCCTGGTTGAAACAAAAGTCTGAAACAAATGAAATGGAGAAGAATGCCGTTGTTTTGTTATTGCTGTTGTTGTTCTCTTTCTTTTAATGTAATGTTGATGAGATTTCAATGCACTTCCTTTTCCTTCTCTCGATATTTACCTTTTCTTTTTTTCCTTTCATTTATTTTATTAAAATTTTCCCCACTTGGACGAAACCGGATTCAGTCAGTGCACAACCCGTTCCAACAGCCATTATAACCTTACACTCGGAATATCTCCCCATGATGCACGAACGGGCCAGGCACTGACTGAAGCCGATCTATCCCCTGCGGAAAACCTGATACTGGGATAATCATGATACGACACCCCTCAGTTTGATACGTGGGACCCATGTGTACAGAGATGATGCGGCGTTCCGCTATTGGACAAGTGTTGCAATTGAAACTAGAGATGTTTTGAACCTCCTCGGACTAGGGGCGGACGGACAACGAAATCGTCAGTCGCGGCCCCCGCAAGTCGCTTTCTTTCGGATTTTCTTTTCCATTTCGTGTCTGATGATTTTCCCGGGGGTAGGACCATTGGATTTTGGCTCTGTGGGTCTCTTCCTCTTGCAACTTTAGGGCAGATAAGATTGTTAAATGACAATATTACCCCTGATTAGTGACTTGGGTCCTCCTTTGTTTCCAACCCTAACCGTCGATCAGTGATTCGGAACTCGGGGGGCTTGGGTGGGTTAAAAGGTCAACTTAAGCCCAACTCTAAAGGCTCCGTTTGTTTCCAATGTAAATGCAAATATGTATCATGTATATTTGGCGGCATTTCGGTTCATGAATATAAACTCGGTTCACATTTTAGTTCAGTTTTTGTACTCTTTTCGTTTGTTTGGAATTAAGGCAAATCAGGGTACAAATTTACTAGCATTTGGTTGGCATCGATGTAATCTATGATAACAAACATAAATGCACTAACTACCTACTCTCCACTGTGTTGAACTTTCGGTCAAATAACCAACAGACCAGGTTCGATGAAATTTGGACCGTCCATTCTTATGAATTCATCTGCAATTCTAACTTCTTCGTGTAAGATGCCAATAAAATAGGTAAATTCCCAAGTATATAGAATAGAAAAACACCCATCTCCAAATAAGCACTGCTCCATATATCTAGCCCATTAATTATAGTCAAATTTCTATAAAACAGATAAACCCAATAATCAACACTGAACATTTCTTTGTCTGAATTCAAACATTGGTGTGAACAGTGGATTTTATAGATCTAAATCACTTTCAGTGAAGCTCATTATAATATAATAACTAAGAAGTGATTTTATAGATCGGAAAACAATAACTCAAAGCTTATTCCTCAAATAGTGAATCATTGGGATTCCACCCCATAATTCATTTGGTTCGGGCTTTGTTGTCGTGCCACCGTGTGTGGTTGTGGGTTCAAATCCTCCTCAGCCACTAATGGCCTGATACATTACAGAGCTCGTCATTGCTAAGGAAAGTAGGAAATGGCCATTTCCTTGGATGTAGAACTGGAACTAGAACTGTTAATGGCCTAATACATTTAACAATGCCTGATACATTACGATCTTTCATCTGATGATCTTGTAAAAGATCCATAGTGGGGATGTTCCTACTCTATCAAAACAAATATAAGTGATATGATAATGATAGCAAAGAATAAAAAGGAATAGCCCTCTCTCTCTCTCCCTCACTCACACACCTCCCCCCCCCCCTCTCTCTCTCTCCCCACTCATACCTCTCTCTCTCTCTCTCTCTCTCTCTATCTATCTATCTATCTGTATATATCTTTCAGAGTTGCAGTCAATCTGTTACCTTCCAAATGATTTGGCTAATTAAACAACCCCCATGCCACAATCCTAGTAAAGAATTCAATGATGCCTCCTATCAGATATGGCCTAATTGTTGATGTGGATGGCCCTGCAACCAATTTCTCAAAGGAATATGTTGTATCCAGTTCTACTTCACAAAAATTATAGCATACATCTTCAGCTTCTTCTCAATTGTTATATGAACAATAAGAATTCCCCCTGAACCCAACAACTTACTTTCGACACTCAGGCCATGAGTCTACACACCTGGCTTTCTCCCCTTGAACACAACATAGGATTTTTTTCATCCTACACACCTCATCGTTAGGACAAACCGATGTGAGTATAAGACATCAACAATGTAATTAACTATACATATATTTCAAGCAACTGACAAACGATGATATATTACAAACAAAGAGTTATAACAAAAAAGTTTCATTATATCAGTAAGTCAAAAGTATCATTATAGAAGAAAGTTCTAAAGAGTTGTAATAGCTATTATAGTTGCCACCAATTAGTTAATAGGTTTTATCAGCAAATGCATCAACCTAATTTGGTTATAACAAAAAATGGTAGAAGTGTTAAGTTCCATTGTCTAAACTTCATAACAAGCCAAGAGGTACTACTGTATTCCACCAAAACCAATCATCTTAGATATGATGGATATGACCATTTGAGCCCTAAATGGCTTGTCCCTTGCAAGGAAAATCTTTGCTTCCTTCTCATGTTCACCTAGGTACCCAAAGATAGTGTTCCAGACCTGAATGTCATACCCTTCCAAGTCCATAACTTCCCTTTATAAGCAGTTTAAGAAATCCATCTCAGTCTCCACTGTAAGTGCAGATGCAACTTTTGACATTGTAATAGTCATTCTATCAATTGCATCAATAAAGTCTTGGTTGGGTTTCGGTTTTGATCCATGCACTCTTTTTTTTTAACTTGAGGAAGTTATCATACGGTTGTTGTTGGAGACTGATTGAGTATCATCTTCACAAATGAATTCATCAACAGTCACTGGGGTTGTTGCATCATCATTGATCTCTGGGTCATCCTCTTTATCACCATCAACATCAACATTACACTCAGTCATGGACTCAAACCCTGCCATAGCCTTGTCACCTATAGGCTGATCATTTCCCATAACTATTTTCATCTCCTCAAACATCTCCATCACCCTGCCATTTACACACAGTGCAAGTGGATTGGCTTGCATTGTAGATGGCATCATGACCAGTTGCTAAATTTTTTAAATATTAATTAAAAAAACCAAATAAGCCACATTTACCTTGATGTAATCATCCCAAACAACTGGGTTAACTATGATTTGATTATTGGGTTCATTCCAACCAAAGCCATTAGTCCCAAGCAACTTCTTGGCTTCCATGTATATGGGCTTTAATATTCTCATTCTACTCATAATATGGGGTGTTCTCATATCAATATTGAAATGAATAGTCATTTCCTTGCATACTGATTTGTATGCAGATGTCTGAAACCCCTTATCAATTTTGTTGTCCAATGCTACTTGATCAACAAGTAGCTCAATCAATGCCTTATCCATGGCATCATTCCATCTTACTTGTCGATTTCGATCACCCTTGTTGGACATCGTTTGAGAGACATACAACACATCATTTCCCTTATTGCCATCTTTCCTATTACTGATAGATGCTCCTGCTATATCTGTACTAGAGACCATCCCTACAAAAGTATTCCATTTCATGCGGTAAATAAATAACATATAGACATGTATATACACTATCATAAAGAAATATTGAAAATACCTCTAGTAATCAACAACATAAAAGTGAACATATACAATACAGAAACAAAGTTGTTAAAAAATATTGTTGATATATCAAAATATCCATACCAAGTCATGAATATCTAAAAACACAAATAACTTGGAGGTTTTAAACATTAATAACTGAAATTAATACAAATTGGTTCTAAATGATGATGAGTAATTAATCCAAATACTACAACTCTTAATCATCTTTGCAATCTCCTCTAATCCCGGAACATGTCTGACCCAATTTGGTCCCTAAATGTGGACTACTTTGCTAGTTCATTTCTTTGCAACCTCGGTGCAAGAGAATCTACATTGGTGCTTTCATCCACAAATTCATCCCCACCGAATGTATTTTGCATGTCTACCTCACAGACCCCTTCTTGGGTGTATTGGTCATGTGGATCAACTCCCATGATATGGTTGTGAAGCACACAACAAGCTATAAAAATCTTGACCTGCGTGTGAAAGTCAAAATGTTGTGTTGCATCAAGGATTGCCCAATGCATTTTCAGAACACCAAAAGCATGTTCCACTATATTTCTCGATGATGAATGTTTGTGGTTGAAAATCTCCCCAGGGGACTTCGACAACTGCCCTCGTATCTCATTGAGGTGATATCTGGTGCCTCAATAAGGTGCTAGGAAGCTTGGCATGTTTCTGTATCCGGCATCTACTAAGTAGTATTTTCCTATATTGCGTTGAGTGGTCATTGTCAATAAGCAATTAGTTAAGACAATGGAGTCCACTATTCGAGTATTAGAAAGGATGAAGTATCAATGTAAGTTACCTTCTGGGACTTGGAGTTTGCATTCCCTTCACAGGGAATCATAATGGACTGTGGCATCAGTGGCCAGACCCTCCCACCCAGCCAATACATAAATGAATTTTAAATCAAATGTCACTACAACCATTACATTTTGTGTTATTTTCCCCTTCCTACCACAAAACTTGCCTTGCTCCTCAACAGGCACTTTGCATGGGATATGGGTCCCATCAATTGCACCTATACAATCACACATTTAACTAAATTATGTTAATTTTATGGTTTAGAGAGGTTTTAAGGAAAAAAGTGTAAAAATCTGTTACATACCTTAAAATATGGCATAAACCAGGAGTCATTTCTAATCTCTGGGGGTACTTGTTTTCCAGTTGGTTGTATAACCAACAAAAGGTATGATCTAAGTATAGCACGTAGGACTTTGTGGAAATACTAACTAACGATATGTTGTGAACGCCCGAAAGTAACATGTATGACACTATTCCTTTCATTATGCCCTATAGTGTGCAAAAACGTTGCAACTTGCTATCCAACAAACAGATTAATGGTTGATCAAAGTCCATTATGTGTTACAAGTAAATGATAGAGGGAATCAAAACATGGCTTTCTCATCCTAATTTGAGATAAACATGATGCCTCATTACTAAATACGGTGTTAAGAAATACTCTCCTAGGCTTTTGACCTCTCGCACCCTTT